GTAGGCCTCACTGTGTGTCTGACTGTCCCTTCTATAGACTATAGGCCTCACTGTGTAGTTGGGAGAGCCCTCAATCTTAGAAACCAGGACCCTTCATATTTACAAGATGCGTAGCATTTGGCTACTCATTTCAGCTCAGTGCACTGCATTTTTGAACACGCTGCATGGAAGGTACCACCTACATCAGTCATCTCCCTCTTCTTAGTAGAGGAAAAACAGGTTTGTGGACACTGTAATTATCAAGGAAACAAGCTTATCTGACATAAAAGGCAGTTACGAGAATGAATCTCAGAATTTGTTGTAATTAGGGGTGCTGTTGTTGGTATGCATGTTTTGTCTAAATAGAACTAGTCAGCATCATCAGAAGCCATAACAGTCTCAGACATGTTGGTGATGAAAGAAAATTACAGAGATACAAGAAGCATTTTTGGTGTCTAGTGAAACATTCTTCTTCAAGCACTCTTCTCTGATGCTCACAAATTTGACTCCAAAGAGCACTGTAATCATCTGCCTGTCACTGTCCCTCAGCCAAGTGGGAGCAGTGGTGCAGGTAGGCACATATGTACATGTGCTTGCCAGCAGATGGCCTGCAGTGCAACCCCCTCTGACCCTCCTTGGACCATCCTCACAGCTCAGAGCTGCTCATCCTGGGAAGTGATAGAGTGGTAAGGGAGTTGCAGCTCTGCTTAGCTTACAGAGGTGTTTAAAACAGTTATGGCCAACTTACTATGTTGATTATCTCAGGTGCATTGTAGCAGCACACAGGCCTTGGCCAGTCACCCTACTGGTCCTCAACTGGTCATCTACAGGGGTACAGGTATGTCAAAATTACCTGGAGTTATTTTTAAATTGCAGATGCTTACTTTTTACACTTTTATATCCTGTAAATAAGCACTTCCTTCCTGAGAATCACTGATATGAACTCCATATTTTCTTGGGAAAAAAAGTAAAGGTAATGTCATCATAAGTAATTTGAGTATCAAATCCTACCTTTATGTTTCTAGATTCCAAATGTTTTTCTTTCACAGTTCCTGGTCTTCTTTTCATAGTGCAGGCTCCTTTAAGTATTCTTCTGTAGGCCTTAAAAATCACTTTTATGATATTTGTAATTTTAAAAAACCAGATTCTAATGTTATTTAAAATATATAATGATGACAGAAAATAACATAAGTAAAACTAAGCATATCCACTATATAAGATTTTAGTCTTCCTTTTTCACCAAAGAGGCTCTTTCCCATTTTTGATGACTGTGTGTCATGCCTCACTCAGCTTCACTTGCACAGATTCTTGGAAGGCGTTGAAGTCCTTGGGTTCATGAAGCCATGAGAACAGGCCATAGCTCAACCACATAGCCCAAAGCTGGGCCTTTCTCCCACCCTGCTGCTGCCACCACAACCTCTTCTCATTTGGTGGCTGCATCTGGATCTTGCTGGAATGTATTCTTTCCTGGGAGAGTCAGCCTGTGATGACTGTCTCCTCTGTGTTAGGAGGCATTTGTAAGAAACCTTAACCTGTCTTAGCAATGAGGCCTGGAAGAATTAATTAGAAGAGATGTGACCGCTATTTCATAAACATTCAACCTCCCAAAGAATGTATTTAGTTGGCCTCAGCACTCCTCTTTGGTGATACTTGCATAGCATTTGCTAAATCCTTCTGCTTTTCGTAATGATTTCCAGATCTTCCTTTTCATTTAATCTTGTGTTTAAATTCACTTTTTAATGCCCTGCTAGTTATCCAAGTAGAGAGAATAGTACCTATCACCCAGCTTTAAATAATTATCAATTCATGGCTAACCTAGCTTTATCTGTATGTGATCTACTTTGTCCCTATCAGATTATTTTGAAATTAATCTCAGTCATTTTATCATTTCATCCATAAATATTTTATTATGCAAATCTAAAAGTAAGCCCTCCTTTTTGTAGCCATAAGCACAATACCACCATACTACCCTAAAATTGAGCAGTAATTCCTTAAGAGCATTAAATATGCCATCAGTGTTCCAATTTCCCTAATTGTTTCAAAGTCTGTAGTGAGAATGTGTTTTTTTATAGGCTGAGTAAATCAGAATTCAGATAAGGTCCATATTATGCAAATAGCTGTTGTGATTCTTAAATCTCTTCAAATTCATAGGTTCTCTTCTATTTATCTGTCTATGTTTGTCTCTTTTTCTCTAATTATTTATTTGTTGAAGAAACTAGGTTTTTCTCATGTCGACTGTCTACCAGTCTGGGTTTTGGTCATTGAATTTCCATGGTAACATTTAGCATTTTTATCTGTTGCATGTCTTGTAACTTCGTAGTTAGATAAAGGCTTAATCAGATTCAACTATTATTTTTTTGGTAACAATGCTCCATAGGTAGTGTTATATGTATCTATCAAGAAGCAGAGAAAACCTCTAGTTGTCTCACTCTTTTGTATGTTCACATCCATTGATGGCTATTTCCTAGATTCATTATTTCATAATTTTGGATTTCAAAATAGTTAATTTCCAAGTATGTCATTCTTTCTTCATTTAGTCCCTAGAAAGAGAAAATTTTCTTCAACACTCGTTTAGTAACTGTGAGATACAATTTGCTCAGGAAAAGAAGGATAAATATTACATTCTTTCCCTTTGTTTACCAGTTTTCAAAATAAAAAGGTGGTTCCCTAGC